CATCATAATGGATGCTCTAGCGCTGTTAGAAGACCTTGCTAATGACGCTCTACGGAGGGAGCGTGTTTTCAGAGACCGTGAAGATTTCCTTGATCATGATGATGATTGGCTCATGAGCCGATTTCGACAATATTATGAAGCTGCAGACTCGGAGCCTGCATCTACAGTCCCCCACCGAGAGTCCCGCATTCTCAGACCCCTCGTTTTTCGAACACAGCGCCTCCTGCTGTTCGAAAGATCGTATAACACCCGCACACAGAGTAGGCTACAGCGCACGCTTATCCAAATGCAATTAAAAACAATAGGATGCAATATTACGGTCTCCAAATAAATGATCCAATAAATATTTGCGTTCCCTGCTTAATGCATGTGCCAAAAAAAAAACTCATTGCGATGGAAGGGATACAATTACAGATCTTCTGAACTATCTTCTGAAAAATAGTATGTGATATTATATTGCTACAATGTTTTTTTAAATATTTTTTTAATTCAAATTCCAATTTTTCTTTCAGTTCAACCTATAATGGTCTAATTAACATTACCATGCTAACATTACAAAATCTGTTTTTTGATATTTTGAATGCGAAGCAAAACAAATCAGAATAGACAAAACACCAATAATAAACAATTTTGTACTTTATTTAATGATCACCTAAACATCATCTTGCTGTAAAGAAAAAAGGAAGAAAAAACTGTGTTTGTGACTTTACTTTTCGTCTTCAATTGCATAAAAAAACGAATTTATAAGTCGCTTTGCATAATCATAAAATGATATGTTGCTGGGTTCGGCAGGGGCGACTCCATCGATGTATGGTGCACCCTGGAATAGCCTACAACAGTATAGGCCCGATAGCACATGTCTTATGATGTTTCAAAAAGAAAGAAAAAAAAAGAAAAAAGATGTTTGCAAATGTTACCTTCATGTTGCACTGCTCTGTTGAAGTGTCCCTTGAGATGTTTTTGAACTTTGGACAACTTTGTGGGTTTGAAATATATGGGGGCACAAAATGGGCAGTGAAAATCACTGCAGCATTTATAACATATCTACAAAAAGTCCAAGGTTAAAGGCTAACGTTAGCTATCAAAATATTTCCGGGGGCAAGAGGGCGAAAAAACATACATTAACGGCTCAAATCTTGTTACAAACTATCTTTACAAATATTAAATGGACTATTCATATGTTGTATCGATGAGCTAAATTAGTTTTATTAAAAAATAAATCAAACGACTAGGCTACTACGATTCGCTAAATAAAATTGAAGATAGCCTATACTCACGTTTTGGCTTAAGTTCCTCACATGTTCTTCGATACAATTTGATAGGAGGCGCTGTCTCGAAAAACGAGGGGTCTGAGAATGCGGGACTCTGGGTGCAGGGGGACTGTAGATGCAGGTCTCCGAGTCTGCAGCTTCATACTACTCGATTTCGATTCCCAAGAGCCACCCTCTTGGAATTGTGTTCTGAATTACGGTCAGTAACATGAAATCATTACTGAGAAGTTACAACATTTTTATATTCAATAAATATAAATATTTGTTGTGGATGTAATGCTTTTGAACACTTTTCCTCTGGCATGCTGTCTGTGTTTTAATGTGTTAACTACAGAGATAATTGCTTATCATGATAGCAGATTGTCTGAGAAAATGGTTTCGTGCAAATAATGTACAACAAGGTCTATCTGTTTCCATTAGAAATATAAATCAATTAAAATACTGAGAAAAGATTGAGAAAAACTTTCTCTGAAATGCATTTTGCACTATTTTATTTTATTTATTTAACCCTTGTGTTATGTTGCGGGTCAATTTGACCCGTTTCGATTTTCAAGTTGTTGGAAATACTGGTTAACCTTTGTTTTTTTTCTTGATATTTTGTGACTTTTTCTCATTTATCATGATGAACATGCATGCAAAGTTTCAACATGCTGATGTGTTTTGACATATACAAACAAAATTACTGTTACGTTCGTGATGTTCGCGGGTCAATTTGACCCTCATAGACAGCCATTCAAAAGCAACTGTACAGACACAAAATAAAAACATTTATTTTCTGTATGTCAGGGCACTTCAACTCCAGTTCTAACGTGCAATTGCATCTAAAAGTGCTCTAACCCTAACCAAACACACTTGAAAAAGCTAAAATTACAGTGTTCAGAATTATTTGCAAATTACAGATGAAAATCTTTGTCAGACACAGATAGTAAAATAAGCTCTCATTTCAATATTCAAAATATCTATATACCTAGCTTTTAACCAAAACTTTTGTGTAGGATTTTCAAAGGCAGCTTCACAGAGCCAAAAAATAAATAAAAAACATTTATTTGATGTATGTTTTTGTTATGTTTGGTTTCTCACTTTCCCAGTGAGTGAATAATGAAACTAGGAAAATAGGTCTTAGGAAACTAGGGAAAGTTAACTTAGGAAAATGAAAAATTTTCATTATACAGCAATTTTTTTGTTCAGTTACGATGTTCAAAGCATTTAAAGAAAAAAAAAATATATGCAAAAAAAATCAGTATACTGTTTATTTTCCAATTTTGTCAAAACAAAACTGTTTTAAAAAATGTTTTAAAAACATTTTCATTAATCATATTTTCAGATATAATGTTTTTGTAATGTTTGACAAATGTTGATATTAAAAGTTTACAGTTTGTATCTAAATCTTTGTTGTTTTTCATAGTGTGATTTTTGAGGAATTGCATTGAATCCAATTAGGGTCAATTTGACCCGGTCCATAAGGGGTGTACACAGAAATCGAACAGAACACAAGGGTTAAAAAACAAGGGAAGGATGGGCTACTAAGTGATTTTTATTAATCTAATGTGACGGCACATCCGTATTTCATATTTTCCTAATGTCTTGTACCGTTAAACATGTTTTCATGTGGATGAATAATCATATGCAAATGATATGCAGATGAGGATATGCATAGTAAAACTAGGCGTTATAATCTCCATATATGGTTATTTCGGGGAGGAGACGCATGTGCGCACAATGTTCCGCTGACTGGGATTTATAAAGTGAATTCTGCGCAGGATCTGGCACGGTTTTATAAGTCTGAATTTTTTTTTTGCGTACGACATTTTTGGCTTTCGGGCGCACGTACACTTTTAGTAAGGATTCTACGCACAGTTTTATAAATGAGGCCCCTGGACACAGACCAACATGCAGATTTTTTCATCACATTGATTTTTTTGGTAACACTTTAATAAGGTCTCATTTGTCAACATTTGATAATGTATTAACTAACAGGAACTAACAATGAGCAATACATTTGTTACAGTATTAATCTTTCTTAATATTAGTTAATAAAAATCCAGTTGTTCATTGTTTGTTCATGTTACTTCACTGCATTAATGTTGAAATAACATTAATACATGCTGTAGAAGTATTGTTCGTTCTTAGTTCATGTTTACTAATGTTAAGTAGTTTACTAATGTTTTATGTACATAAGTTGTCCTCTGTCTTATTTAAATCGGTCATGGAGGTATCCAAAATGTCATTGAAACTGGTAAATTAACTCATTATAGCTGTTTTTATGAATAACCATAAGTCAAGGTCAAGCAGATGCTCTTTAACTTTTCCTGTTCTGAAATTGTTTGATACATTCCCACCTATAAAATTATTCACCAGCCGCCACTGCGTCAAAGCTACACATTTGTACCATCTGAACCTAAAAGGTACTTGTCGTATGGTAATATGCATTAGTGCTCTTCGCCTGTCGGTCAAAAATGACTGAAATTTGTTTGTTTTTTCAAATGAAATTAATGTACATTTCAGTTCGAAAATGTTTTTTATTTAATATTTTGTATTTTTAGGGGAACAGCAGCGATTTCATTGTACTAAATTATATTTACGCTGTATTTATAATCCATTTTGTTCACTTTTTTTAGCATAGACCAACTGTCGTAATTCTTGAATGCTTTAGTTTAGAGCACAGACTTTTTTCAAGAGAAACATCTATTTACACTTAGTGAAAAAAGTTTTAAAAAGTGAATTTAAAAAAGTTACAGAATTTTACGTTTATTGTAATGAAAAATGTGCAAAAATAGGCTACTATTTTCAATATATGAAATATATATTTTATTTTCAAAAACACGTTTTGCTCTAAAACTGAGAAAATCAAAGCCATAAATCTAAACAAGCTGTGTTTAAAATTTGAGACAGTACCAAAAGTTTTCACTAGATGGAATTCGTCTCCCATTCATTTCCCGCGAGGAGCACAAGTTTTTTTTCAGGACCATTTAACCTGTTCGAATCATGTCCATGATTTTTTGTTTGTGTGTGTGTTCACATAGCAAGTGCCAAAACCTTTTCCAAGTTTGGTACCATTCCGATGAAGAAAAAAATTAAAAATAAAAACAAATGTACAATTTTTCAGACAAAAATGACGGAAGAGCACCAGCTGTAATACTATAGTACTAAAGAATAAACGTACTGTAATATGTTTGCAGATATGTACTGTATAGAAAACACGCTGTTCACAGTTTTTTTTTAATAAAAATAATGCGACATTATTTACAAATATACATTTATTTATCTTTGAAATGTGGGTTCTGTGTCAGAATGTCTGATCATGTTTTGGTCTGTGGGATTCTGCCCGCTGCCAATTTACTCAATAGTATTTCGACAGCTCGGGTTCCCAGTTGGTGGAAAACACAGCATATGAGAGCCGCTTCACAGATGCGCCAGTACATTTGTGTTTTTTCCTTCTTAGCGTGCTTGAATGGTTTAATAGCACTTAAATGAATTATAGCATCATCATATAATGTAATGCTAGCCAAAGGATGCCAGGACAAAACAGATGCTGCATTAACTGTGTTAACCCAAACAATCAATCGCATACTTTAAAGTGTTGACTAATGTAACTTGAATCTAATATGAGAAAAGCTTCTTCCAAATTAAAATGTAATGTAGCTAAACACTATTGATGTGGGAGATTCAAATTACTATTCAAATTCAGATTAAACTATATTGTAGAAAAACTGTTCATTTCTTCTCCAGGTGTTTTCGGTGTTGGATCAGATGAAGTGTCAGTGATGGAGGGAGATTCAGTCACTCTAAACACTGGTGTTAAAACAAACCAACAAGAAGATATTAAATGGTATTTTAAAGACACTCGCATCGCTCAAATCAATGGAGATCTCAATAAGACTTGTACAGATGTTCAGTGTAATGAAGGGACTGAGAGATTCAGAGGCAGACTGAAGCTGGATCATCAGACTGGATCTCTGACCATTAGAAATATCAACACAATAGACTTTGGACTTTATGAACTGAAGATCATCAGCAGGAGCAGCATCAGTGGGAAAATCTTCAATGTTTCTGTTCATGGTGAGTTAGTGAATGTTTAAATGCAATTTAAATATTGTTAATTTGCTTGATATTTGGTTATTTTCTTTTGTTTTCCTCAGTTATAATACTTACAGTATTCAGATCTCATTGACAAGTTATTAGTTTTAACAGTTAATTTTTTTAATAAGAACCTGCAGTTGAGCTCAGAGGGAGATGACGGCATATAATCACATCTGATCAGCTTCTGTTATTATCTGTTTAAATGAGGATTAGATGTAAGTTATGTAAAATGTGTTTGAGGACAAAACAAATATTGCTTTTCATATCGAAAGTCAAGAAAGGGCTTATGCAATTGCATTTGTGATCACAGTTCTGATGTTGTGGCGTTCGCTTATTGTCTAATATCACACTAATCTGACATCGCTAGCTTTTATCTAAATCGTTATCGCTAGCACAACACGCTAGTATCTCGCTAGCCTGTAAACCTGCCCTCCGTGCTTGCAGTCTTTTTTTTCCTCTTGCGCCTTTTACGAGTCTATCAAACAACTGTGGTAAGTAGGATCAGTCAACAAACACGGTGAGTAATGTATTCTCCTGTTATTGTCACTTGCAGTTCGTGTCACATGTATAGTATAACCTTCTCTGTCAGCGGTGAGAGCTTCATATGTGACAAAAGCAGGGAGATAATCAGGCTGACGGATAAGATTTCAGAACTAGAGACACGCATCCAAACTTTAATCGAGGAAAGTAAGAATGCAAGGGATTTAGGTACTGCTTTGGATGCGACTAGCTTAGTGAACTCTGTACATTGTTCTGTTCCGGCTGTAGAGCCTGCGCAGCAGGGCAACTGGGTGACTGTGAGACGCCAAAATATGGCTGTCATATCACCCTGTAGCCCAAGACTGGTTGACCACTGAAGCTAAGCAGGGTTGAGCCTGGTTAGTACCTGGATGGGAGACTCCTGGGAAAAGCAGGTTGCTGCTGGAAGAGGTGTTAGTGAGGCCAGCAGGGGGTGCTCACCCTGTGGTCTGTGTGGGTCCTAACGCCCCAGTGTAGTGACGGGGACACTATACTGTCAAAGAGCACCGTCCTTCAGATGAGACGTTAAACCGAGGTCCTGACACTCTGGTCACAAAAAATCCAAATTTGCCCAGTGGCCTCTGTCCATCATGGCCTCCTAATCATCCCCATATACTGATTGGCTTCATCACCCTGTCTCCTCTCCACCAGTAAGCTGGCGTGTGGTGGGCGTTCTGGCGCAATATGGCTGCCGTCGCATCATCAGGTGGATGCTGCACTTTGGTGGTGGTTGAGGAGATTCCCCCCTTCTATGTAAAGCTCTTTGAGTGCCGAGAAAAGGGCTATATAAATGTAATAAATTATTATTAAACAGGTTCTCCCCCACTCAGTTAAACACCCACTGAGAATCCTGCTGAATGTGCCATAGTTATTGGCGATTCTATTACACGGACAAATAGAGCCATCAGCCACCATAGTCACCAGTGTTTGCCGGGAGCCAGAGCGCCTGAAATCAAAGCAAATTTAAAAGTGTTGGCTAATGCTAATCGTAAATTCTCTAAGATTATTATTCACGTCGGCACTAATGATGTTCGACTTCGCCAGTCGGAGATCACTAAAATTAATGTTAGAGAGGTGTGTGAACTCGCAAGTACGATGTCAGGCACTGTAATTTGCTCTGGCCCCCTTCCTGTTCACAGGAGTGATGAGATAGTTAGTTGACTGTCCTCACTCAATGGTTGGCTGTCTAAGTGGTGTTCACAGAATAATATAGGGTTCATAGACAATTGGAAAAGTTTATGGGGCAGACCTGACCTGTTGAAAAGAGATGGTATTCATCCCTCCTGGGATGATGCTGCTCTTCTCTCTAGTAATATGGTACATAATCGTAGAGCTCAAACATGACAATCTGGGGCTCAGGTCAGGAAGCAGACAGACTGGCTAAACCGTCTGCCAGCTGTCTCACGTCACTGAGGTCAGATAAATCCCATCACATAGAGACTCTTTCAACTAGATATCATCATATAGAGACTGTGTCTGTTCCCTGAATTGGGAAATACAAAAAACTCCCAAACCCATTAAGGGTAAAAATGTAATTGATGTTCAACAAATAAAAAATAGATATAATACAGATGAACAAATGATAAAGCTTAGGTTGCTGAATATTCAATCCCTTACTACAAAAGCACTTATTGTTAATGATATGATTACAGATTATAACCTCAATGTGTTTGACAGAAATCTGGCTAAGACCAGACGATTACATTATTTTAAAGGAGTCCACCCCCCAAGATTACTGTTCTATTAATAAACATGAGCCTCGTCTGAAAGGAAAAGGGTTGGTGTTGCTGTAATCTATAGTAATATCTTCAGAATTACTGAGAAGTCTAGTTTCAAATATAATTCTTTTGAAGTGTTGGTGCTTAATGTAACACTATCTATTGTAAATTATAAATCGCACTTGATATTTGTGCTAACTACTGTATACAGGTCACCAGGGCACTATACAGACTTTATTTGAAGCCAGTACTAACTCTTCTTTGATAAAGTCCTAGTGATTTTAATATACATGTAGATAACAAAAAAGACGCATTGGGATTGGCATTTAGAGACTTTCTGATCTCTATTGGAGTTAGACCAGTGGTTCCCAAACCTGTCCTGGCGACCCACCAACACTGCACGTTTTCTTTGTCTCCCTAATCAAACACACCTGATTAAACTCATTAGCTCATTAACCCATGTGATAATGAGCTGATGAGTTGAATCAGGTGTGTTTGATTAGGGAGACAAAGAAAACGTGCAGTGTTGGTGGGTCGCCAGGACAGGTTTGGGAACCACTGAGTTAGGCCCCGTCCACACTACTGCGTTTTCGTTTAAAAACGGAGACCTTTTGCTACGTTTGCACCTCCCGTCCACACTAAAATGGCCAAAACGGAGAAGTTTAGAAACGCTGCCGATCCGTTTTTCGTTTTGAATCTCCGGAGGGCGTTTTAGTGTAGACGGGTCAAAACGGAGGACTTTAGAAACGATGACGTAGTAGAGGCTCACGCTCGGCTCTATGATTGGGTGTCATCAGTCATGGCGTATATCTTTGCTAGCAGCTGTTGTACAAGTAAATTCTGCATTTTACAACACTATAACTGCCTACATGCGCCGGAGTCAAGCTATTATTCGAGCGATCTGTGACCAGAGCCGGATTAACGCAAAGGCAAACTAGGCACGTGCCTAGGGCCCGACTGGCTGGATGGGGCCCAGACAGAGGGATACATTTTTTTTTTTTTTTTTTTTTTTTTTTTTTACAAATGTCCTATCTACAATTTATTTCAATATTTATTAATTAACTAAAAATAGTGACGATGTTTATCTTAACCATAGACTGTTACATTACGTCACATTAACGCCAGCCCATCAGGTGCTGCGAAGCAAAAGCCTAAATAGGCACGCAAAGAAGCACAGCTCTAATGCAGGTGTGTGCGTTGTCGTCATCTATTTTGGAGTGATTGCAATGTATTCTAAATATAAACTTGTACTGTAGATCAGCGTCATTTCTGGAAAAAACATTCACCGCTTTATTACGAGTTTAAAAGAGCGCGAGCGTCATTAACGTGCCCAGACGCGACGCTTTGAATTTGCGCGTACAATGAATAACATCGCGTCGGGAGCTGACTAAAAACACAAAGGTAAAAGAAAAGACGTTTGAATTCAAAGTTAAAAAGCCAACACACTACAACATTTTTAAATGTTTCAAATAAAGGATCTCGGGTCTATCTTCTAAATTCTGCTGATGATTATACCCTGTCTGACATCAGCCTACTTACGCCAATAATATCAGTTTAGAATTTTTTTTCTAAATCAGTAGCGATCGTGTCTTTCTCTTCCACTTCATTTGTGTATAGCATATTTAAGCTAGCAATGCAATGCATAATATCATATTAGGCCTACTTATATTAATAATATGACAATATCTGCATTCTGCAGTCGAATATTTATTAAATGGGAGGGGAAAATCCTGCCCATACCAGCTATGAAAAAAATGATAAAAGCATATATCACTGAAGTGGTATTCTGGAACTGTGAATAAATTGAATAAAACAGCAAAATAACAATAACAATAACATCTTCATTAAACAAAAAAGAGATTACCTTAGATGAAGTTTGATTAATATGTAGCCTACTGGTAAAAAGTCTGGACCAATTACTATTTTTAATGTTTTTTTATTATGCTCTACAAGCCTGCATTTATTTGATCAAAAATACAAAAAAGAAAAAGAAAAACAGGAATATTCAGCAAGGATGTGTTAAATATATAAAAAGGGATAGTGAAGACTTTTTTAAACAACTTTTTAATAATAATAAAAAAAAAAAATCCTGAAAAAAAGTATCACAGGTTACAAAATAAATATTAAGCACCATTTCTAACATTTGATAATAAATCAGAATATTATAACGTTTTCTGAAGGATCACATGACACTAAATTCAGCTTTGCATCACATAAATATATTTTAAAGTAGTAAAATAGGAAAACTATTATTTTTAATTTTAATAATATTTCACTATTATTTATCTGTATTTTTGATCAAATAAATCCAGGCTTGATTAGCATAAGAGACTTCTTTCAAAAACATAAAAAATATTAATGTGTCCAAACTTATTTACTGTGTAAGTAAAAACATTTAAAATTAAATGTTGTATAAATTAAAAGGTTAAGAATCATATTTGTTTCAAGAGTTTTTTATTGGGGGTGGGGGGCCTCCAACATGAATATTGCCTAGGGCCTCCAAATGTCTAGAACCGGCCCTGTCTGTGACCATTCCCGTGTGCAGCGGCGGCGTTGACCGTACATGGAGCGTCGGTTTGGGGTTAACCCAGAGCATGGTGGGATAATTTTATCAATGAAGTTGTGTTTACAACGGCACGCGCATGCCCAGTGTTGGTGAATGGTCACGTGATCCGCGTTTTCAGTCGTTTTAATGTGGACGGAGATCAATTCTAATATGCAGCTAAAACGCTGGTGTGGACG